TTGGTTTGTTTTTCAAGAATGTCACTCTGGATGCTTTAGAGAAGCGTGCCTAGGTCAAGCATACAAAGAAACAAAAAAGAAAAATCCCAGGATGGAACTAGGGCCAAGTGGCATTTTAGGCCACCCGTTTCTCACCTGGCCTTATTTTATTTCAGTAAAAAACAAACAAACAAAAAAAAACTTTTGTGCCTTTTCTCTGCAAAGCAAATGAATTCATTTGGATCAGAATGAAAGTAGCAATGACAAGTGTAAAACACAGTAAAAGAGTACAGCAGTTTTAAAAAGTACATTGAATGGAAGGTGAGAGAAATAAAACTCCTAAAAGGGGTGAAATATATAAAATTTTAAATTCAATTATTAAAGTTTCCTTCATGCTCAATATCTTCTTCACATGTCATGGCCATGTTCATATGATAGGTTTATCTGGGATAACTGAAATATAGTTTTCCCAAGATTGCATGGGCCACTGAGTCCTACAAGATGGGATCATCTTGGTGGCACAGCGGACTAAAGTATTGTTAAATAGCACTTAGTTGCCAGCTGCCTGAAATTACTGTGAGTTCAAATCTCACCAGGCTCAAGGTTAACTCAGCCTTCCATCCTTCCGAGGTAGGTAAAATGAGGACTCGGATTGTGGGGGCAATAAGATGACTTTGTATAAAAAAGAACACCGCTTAGGGGGGCTGAAAGCCCTACTAAGCAGGTATATACAAAAGTATGAAGGCTATTGCTTAACACATTGTAAGCCACCCTGAGTCTTCGGAGAAGGGCGGCATATAAATTGAACCAATAAATAAATAAATAAATAAATAAAAATAAATAAATAAATCATATAACATACTAGAGTGAAATCTGGATGGCTGGTATAAAGATATTTAAGAATAGCTCAATAAGTTGGCTGTGGCTTGTCATTTCTTTTGCATGAATGGTTTCCTGGCTTTATTTGTGTTATTTACTATTTATTCTAACTTCAGTTTTGTGACCACAGTCCTAGTTTGAATGACACATGAAGCTCATTCACAACAGATACTGTTTCATCCATTTGCAGTTGTTCTTTTTGTAGACCCATGCCATGATGGGAATACTGTGTTGAATGATTCTCACTTTTGTATGCAAACATTTGTTTTTTAAAGTCAGTACGGTACAAAATTGCTAACCTTCAGCACATGTACTCTGTGTTTGAACTAGCTAGTATAGACTTTTTCACACGCTTAGAAACATTTGTACAAATGTTTAAGTGGTGTGGGAGTATTTTCTCTTGGGAATATGCAAGGCAGAATGAGTACGATGAGGAAACTTTAACTTTTAGAGACATTAACAAGATGTTTGTGTCTTGTTTGCCTTTACCATTCCAGACTAAAGCAAAAAGTTTGCCTTTAGTCTGTTTCTAAAGACCTGTGCCCCCATCTGCAATTGGGGAACCATTGTATATGTATATACTGTTCTTTTCATCCCATCTAAGAACATACCAGGCAGAAAATCTAAATAAAAATAGGGTTGTTTTGCTGTGCTTTATTTATTTATTTATTTATTTCATAAAAAATTTTTTTTTATTTTATAAACAAATAAACAAACAATACATAATCAATCATTCAATATATCTTCTGAATACATCTTTTAAGTCTTCTTTTTGCTCCTCCAATATTTATCATATCTTAATATTGTAAACAAACAAACAAATAATGCATAGTCAATCATTCAATATATCTTCTGAATACATCTTTTAAATCTTCTTTTTACTCTTCCAATATGTATCATATCTTAATATTGTCATTCCCTTTATTATAACATTTCCCCCATTTTTCTTACTTCTCTATTAATACCTTAATCTATCTTTTAATTATATTAAAAATTAGACAACCATTTTATCCCCACACAACCTTCAACCCCCCCCTCCCCACCCCCACCCCCGACTTCCCAGAGCAAAAACAGGGTATAGCATTAAACTAAACATAAGCTAAAACATACTAACTTGCTACAAGATTCAAAACTTCCTCACCCTCTTTAACTCCTCTTTTAAAAATTGTTCATCAGCCTCCCCTTTTAAAATTCTAATTTAAACATTTTAAAACTTTCTTTAAAGCATATCTTTTTAAGAAAAAGAAAAAAAAATATTTTGCATCCATTCAATTTTAAATTAACCATTTTAGTACTTCATTAAGTTCTTTTTTCAAATTTATTATTAAGGTCCTCCCCAAAAGAAATTAATCTTCAATTCTTCCTTTCTTTCTATATTTTTTCCAATAAAAATAAAAGCTGTGCTTTATTTATTTAGCTACTGGCATGTTATGTGACTTATCCTGTGGAGTTACTGTTTAACCTGACTTATCTAGAGAGCATGGCTACGTATGCATTCTATGGCACTCCATGTACTTTTGATGCCAGTAAAACAATACCTGCATTGAATGTATGCAAAAGAGCCAAGGGGGGCTCCCCAGACCGGAATGGGACTTTTCGGCTTGAACCCTTCTCCTTGCCTGTTTCGCCTTGAGGTTTTTGCCTCTGGGTTATTAGCCACAAACTTTTCTCCTCGGCTGGCCCTCCACCAGTCTTTCGCCCTGGCAAAACGGCCACAGCCACTCCCTCCCAATGAACTCGGTGTGCAGTTATTGTATCTGCCTTCTTTAGCCCGGGACCTACCCCACGTGCTGAGGTCCAGTAATGTCTTGCTCTAGAGAGCTTTTATATAAAATGTAGTTTAGCCCATCTGATGAGCATGCAGGTGGGGGAAATGAGTAATGAGTACTAAGGAAATACATCTGAAAGTAAGTAGAGAGGAAGTGGCCGTTGCAGACTCTTGCCTTGGAAAGCAAGCTGAGCAAAGCAATGTAGGTTGCTTTGGTTTTAGCGTAATACACTAAGTCAGGCCAACCTGATGTGGTGGCCTGACTTAGTGTATTATGAAGGGACGCGGTGGCTCAGTGGCTAAGACGTTGAGCCTGTCAATCGAACGGTTGGCAGTTCAGCGGTTCGAATCCCTAGTGCCGCGTAACGGAGTGAGCTCCCGTTACTTGTCCCAGCTTCTGCCAACCTAGCAGTTCGAAAGCAGGTAAAAAATGCAAGTAGAAAAATAGGGACCACCTTTGGTGGGAAAGTAACAGCGTTCCGTGCGCCTTTCGCGTTGAGTCATGCCGGCCACATGACCATGGAGACGTCTTTGGACAGCGCTGGCTCTTCGGCTTTGAAACGGAGATGAGCACCGCCCCCTAGAGTCAGGGACGACTAGCACATATGTGCGAGGGGAACCTTTACAGGCCAACCATTGCAGGTTACGAACCATAGGCTGTTCTTAGAATTATTGTGAACCCATTCAGTGGTTTATTGAGTAAGCCATAGTTGTCAGGCACGAACAACCAGTTCCACACATGAAAAGTTCAATTAGCTACTTTATTGCGCCTGCCTATTTCACTGGATGTTTCATAGACAGATGGTTTGCACCCGGGCCAGACTAGATAAGGTCCATTCAAGGGGGGGGTTGGATTTTGCCTTTTTATGCTTATGTAAAGATTCCAGACTAATCCCCCGCTTGACTCCTCACCTTGACTCAGCCAGTCTCTCTCCAACGTAAGTTAAAGTACAGGTAGTCATCAATTTAATGACTATTTGTGTGTTGGAATAACGGGCTGAAGGAGAGAGGGGGCCTTTCTAAGGGGAATAAAAAGACATTCCAGCTCAGATCCAGTTTGGGGGAGGAAATGTCTGAGGTCAAACCCTTAGGTGTCCAACTGCTATTTCCCAAGGGAAGAGAGGCCGTCTGGTGAGATTCTTGTAATACAGGTGACCAGCAATAAAGCAATAATACTTCATTCAGTGAATACTCTATTCACTGAATGATTTTGGTGGTTTGAGTTGTGTCTGACAATTCACTTAATGACTAAAATTATGATGGTATTGGAAAAAAAATTGGCTTACGACCAATCCTTGCACTTGTTATCATCCCAGCATCCCCATGATCACATGATCATAATTTGGGCACCTGGCAAGCGGCTTGTATTTGTGACTATTGTGGAGCCCTGAGGTCATATGATAATCATTTGTGACCTTCCCAGGGGGATTCCAACAAGCAAAATCGAGGAGCGAAGCTGGATTTGTTTAATGACCACAGAGGAAAAGTTAGATAAATAAACACATCGCTTAGCAACAGAAGTTCTGGGCCTAGCTGTGGAAGTAAGCCAAGGATTATTTGTGTGGCTTAAAATGGTATGCGAAACAAGTCTACACGCTCATAATCTCACAAAGAGGAGATAGGATCAAGATGCATCAAGATGTTGAAGGATGAGTCATGCAAAGACCATTCCAGAAACTTGTTTAGCAGGACTTTTCCCTTAATTTTTCTCTTATATCCATGGGGACATTATCACCAACTGGGAAAGAGAATAGATTTTTATTTCTAAATCATATTCTAGGCATTTTTATTTATAATATTTATTCCTTAATGGTAGTTTTGGTTAGTTTTTTTTTTAAAAAAAGAATATGTAATCATGAAAAATAAATAATTTTGAAAAGGATTCCACACAGACATTATCACAGTTAACTTAGTTTTTGTTTCTAGGATAACAAACTATCCTAGAAACAAAAACTTAAGTAACTGTGACAATTTCCGTGTGGAGTCCCTTTTCAAAATTATTTATTTTTCACGACCACATATCTGTTTTTTAATTTGGAACATTTTAAATTTTACTTTAAAACATAATAAATAAACAAAATAAATGACTACGTACAAAGAAAAGAAAAAGTACATAGTGAAAGTGAAAAGATCTGGTAAAGAAAATTTACGGTTGTCATAAAGTTTAAAATTTATTTTCGTTGATGAAACAGTGAATATATGCAACATGGTATTGTTTTAAGAAATAATTGAAAATCGCAACGAAGCTCTAAACATTAATAGGAATATTGATATCACCCCTGTTCATCGTGATTCCTAAAATAAATGCATGTGATCTTATAAGAAAAAATATTCTTTGTCTTCTCACACGGCTGCTGCTTTTCTCTTTCGACAGGCATCATGTCTCTGTGGTTCAGCTTCTTGTCTGTTGTGTGGCTGCTGTCCTTCTACCAAGAATTCAACCGTAACACGTCTCAGCTTCACCTTGTTTCTCTTCTTGGGGACATTAGTGTCCATCATAATGATAATTCCAGGAGTGGAAGAAAAGCTGCACAAGGTGAGTAATCAGTGGTGGGATTCAAATAATTTAACAACCGGTTTTCTGCCCTAATGATTGGCTGGGTGGGCGTGGCCATGGTGGGCGTAGCCATGGGGTGCAATAGGCAGCACTCGACCTCCTGCACCCCCCTGGGAGCAAAAACGGGCTGCAGGGGAGGTGTCTCCCCCTGTTGTCCGCCAGCAGCCTGTGGAGCTGACAGCGGAGTTGGACAGCGATGAGGCTGAGGAAGAACATGGGCCAGTCCTGGAGGCTGGGGAAGGCCCGGATGAGGGCTCTGCGTCGGAGGCAGAGATGGGGCCAGGGCCATCGTGGAGACATGTGCGGACCCCGGAGCCTCCAGAGGCTGATAGTAGAGAGGCAGAGGAACAGGAAGAGCCTGTTCCTAGTGCACGTATGAGAAGAGCTGCCAGAAGGCAAGAGCAGATAAAGCAGAGAGGACGACTCGGGAGTAGGGCCAAGAGATGATTGGCCCCTCTCATAAGGCTTAAAAGGCCAGCAACGGCTCTTGGCCTCTTTGCTGGAAAACAACCGTTGAGAGATTTGCTTCGTGTTTGGATGTATTTCTTTCTTGTCAGCGTCTTCTGTTCCTGAACTGTTGCCAAGAAATGCCTTTGGCAGTTTGCCTAATTATACCAAGGTCAGAGATAAACTGAAGAATGGTGTTTGGAGGACTTTGCTTTCATTTAATTTGGAATAAGATGAGAATGAGTTAATTTTCAGCCGTTTTAATAAAATCTGTTTGTTTTTGCATTTAATATTAACTATGTGGGCCTGGGTCACAACACCACCCCCCGCGCCTGGTTTTGGGCCTAGTAGGCCTCCCTGCACTTACCTGGGAGCCAAAATGGGGCATGTGGGAATTCCTGGAAGGGGAGGGGTGGGGCCAGACAGCAATTTAACAAACCGGTTCGCTTGAACCGGCCTGAACTGGCTGAATTCCATCACTGTGATCCACCACCACTGGATCAGTGGTGGGTTGCTACTGGTTCACCCCAGTTCAGGCAAACCAGTAGTGGCGGTGGTGGGAGGCTCTGCCCACCTGCCCGGATGTCATCATGGACGCTCTGTGCATGCGCGGAAGCACCACACGCGAGCAAAGTGTGCGCACATGTGCACTCCTGGTTTCGAACCGGTAGCGAAGGTAAGAGGAGCCCACTACTGATTGGGATACTTCCAGAATTGACTGTAATGATTTTTCTCCCTACCCTCATACATGTATACATGTTATTTATTAAACTAATTGATATGGCTTTCTCCTTATGCCATTAATAAATATTTTGGGGCTTTAGAAAGCTCCCAATAAATACCCAAACTGACTTTTGGTCTTTTAACCTTCCAATTAACTGCCGTAATTTCCTGAGCCCTTAGCTTCATAACAGACAAGAGTGAAAATTGGCAAAGAAGCCAATTTGTGGTTTGTTTGCTCTTTAAATTGTTTGCATAATGTCTTCCTTCCACTTCTCACACTTGCTGTGTTTAAAGAGCTTTATCTGGTGGTCTTTTTGTGCTACCTCTATTGTCAAATCAATGGGTGGAGGGTGCTACTCCTAATTGGTTTAGGTTGTATGTTTCTCCATCACCCCATAGCTTTCCTGGTTACTCAGATTTCCAGATTGGGAAAAACCCCAAGGGAAGTGTGTCATCCTGAGTTTGGAATTGAACAGAAAAATAAAATGCCAGTGGAAGATGGAAAGATAATGGGGTCATTTGGCCTCCTCACCTCCACCAAAAGGAACAGTTTCCCCAAGTTTCTTTAACAAGGTTTATTGAAAGGGGAGAGGATGAGTGGTGTGGTGGCCTAGAGATGGAAACGCTTGTCTCACACTCAGAAGGTTGAGAATTCAATCCTAGGCTGGGACTGATATTTCTTTATCAGGGCGCAAAGAGAAAATATCTGTTGTGAACTCCGCATAGGCATCAGGAAGGGCATCTAGCCAGTAAATGCTCAGTTCCATTTAGTTGCCCCAACTCCATCCCGTTAAAAGGGGTTACATTAAAAGAAAAAAAAATCTTTATCTTTTTCTTCATAAAAAAGAAAATAAATGAAAGGGAGAGGAGGATGAGATTACAAAAATCCCAGCAACTGGGATTGTTTCCCCTCTTTGGGATTCAGTTTAGCTCATGGATTCATAAAATGGAGACTTTTATCAATCTCTGGCTCTTGTGACTGGGTAAAGAGGTTCTTCTCCTAATTTGATTAATTTTCTCTTAATTTGAGGAGTGAGTGGCTGTTTAGCATGTGAATCTCTTTGCAAACATGCCATTATATGGTCCATACACAACATGGGGAATTTCACCAAATAATAATATTGTCCTTTGGAAATTATTGTATCAATAGGTTTTTTTTTTTTTTGTTAAATTGAAAAATAATGCTGAGAAACAGGCAGGGAAATAATCAGTAATTGTTGCATTAAAGATTAGGGCTTTTCTAAAGCTGTCTTTTTTCCTTTGACTAGCTTCCTGGATTCTGCGAAGGAAGCAGTTCGCCTGTGGGCATCAAGGTTGACTGTAAGGCCTTCCTGGGACTCAAATCGGTGTACCGCATGTGTTTTGCCACAGCTTCATTCTTCTTCTTCTTCGCCTTGCTGATGCTCTGTGTCAGGAGCAGCAAGGATCCCCGAGCTTCAATACAGAACGGGTGAGGCCCTTCATTCAGCTGATGCTATTCATGCTCGTGTTTTATCCTGTCCCAGAACAGCAAAAACCAGATCAGGGAAATCGGGGAGTTAGTCAGTGGTGAAATCCAAATTTTTTTACTACCAGTTCTATGGGCATGGCTTGGTGGGCGTGGTTTGGCTTGGTGGGCGTGGTTTGGTGGGCGTGGCAGGGAAAGGATACTGAAAAATCTCCATTCCCTCCCCACTTCTGGGGAAAGGATATTGCAAAATCTCCATTCCCACCCCACTCGGGGGCCAGCCAGAGGTGGTATTTGCCGGTCCTCCAAACTACTCAAAATTTCCGCTACCGGTTGTCCGAACTGCTCAAAATTTCCGCTACCAGTTCTCCAGAACCTGCTGGATTTCACCCCTGGAGTTAATTCTGGGAGCCTTCCTTTGATTTAACTTGCCGTTTCGCTTGGTGTGTTTGTGTATCTGTGACTAAAGGCAAATGAAGCAGCAGAACCAATATTGATTTTGACTGATTTAAGGGCTTTTTCCCTTCTTTTTTTTTCCTTCTTCCTCCGGCATCATTTCAAAGCTAGTTTTTCCATAGCTGTCATCTCAGGACATTAAGTTGAACTTGATAGGATCGTCATGTTTCACATTTAGATCCTGAGGTGAAACACAAACATATTTTACCTCAGGATCTAAAACATTGGTTGTTTGTTTTTTTTTAAAAAAAAATTCTGGCTTCTTTTTTGCACCCCCTCTTTCTTCATTGATCTGTTCCTTCCAAGCTTCTAATATATATATATATATATATTAAATTAAACTTTTATGAAGTATAGTTCTCTTCTATAAGTTGCCAAGATCATCTCTGGCAGAATTCCAGTCAAAAAAGAACAAGAGATCTAAGGAATAGATGAAAACGTTGAAACTGACCTTGCCTGTGCAGACAATTGGGTCAATTTTTATTGTGTATTGTCAAATTCAATTAAAAACTCTTAAGCAGGGCAAAACAAACTGCCCATGAAAAACAAAAGAATCAATGGACTAATATTTATTTTAAAGCCTTCACCCCTCTACCCCCCTACCCACATTGGAATTCAGGATTGAAAGGCTGTTCAGTTTATTTCTCCTTGTATTTTTTAAGTGTTCCAATGACTTCTTGAAATCCAGTTTCTCCCCATTAGTTCCCATATTTTACAGCTCTGTCTGTTGATGTAAAGGCTCCGAGGTGAATCGAAAGTCCAAGGCTTGTAGGAAGGGGGTATTAAATGTCTTCATGCCTTCCCTGAAACAGGATCGTGCAAGCTTTATAAATAAATCCTCTCTTAAAATAAAAGTAACCTTGTTCCATCAGTGACCTGGTTTAGAATACTAGTTTAGAATGCTGTAGTTAGTATACTAACCCATACTATAGTTCATCTTAGTTTCTGAATTGAACCTGTTCCTTGGCAAGGTCTTTAGCCATGTTTTGTTACAGCTCATCTTAAAAATAGTCAGGTATGTCATGGAATCCGAACTATAGGTAGTCCTTGATTTACAACCAGAGGTGGGTTTCAGCAGGTTCTGACCAGTTCTGGAGAACTGGTAGTGGAAATTTTGAGTAGTTCGGAGAACCGGTAGTAAAAATTCTGACTGGCCCCACCCCCATCGATTCTCTGCCTTCCAAGTCCCAGATGATCGGGAGGAAATGAGGATTTTGCAGTAACCTTCCTCTGGAGTGGGGAGGGAACGGGGATTTTGCAATATCCTTCCCCCAGGAGTGGGGAGGGAATGCGGATTTTGCAGTATACTTCCCCTGGAGTGGGGAGAGAATGGAGGTTTTACAATATCCTTCCCCTGCCATGCCCACCAAGTCACGCCCACCAAGCAATGCCATGCCCACCAAGCCACTCCCACAGAACCAGTAGTAAAAATTTTTGAAACCCACCACTGTTTACAACCATTCGTTTAATGACCCTTTGAAGTTACCAAGGCACTGAAAAGAGTTACTTATAACCATTTTTCACACTTGTGACCGTTGCAGCATCCCCATGATCACATAATATTTGAATCCTTGTCAACTGGCTTGTATTTATGACGGTTGCAGTAGATCACCTTTTGTGATCTTCTGAAAAGCAAAATCAATGGGGAAGTCAGATTCACTTAACAATCGTGTTCACTGACTTAACAACTGCTGTGATTCACTTCACTCAACTGTGGCAAGAAAGGTCACACATTGGGGAAAACTCCCTTAACAAATGTCTCACTCAGCAACAGAAATGTTGGGCTCAGTGGTGGTCATAAGTCAAGGACTGTCTGTAATGAAGGTTGTTGTAGGTTAGCTTGACTTGAGTTCAGCCATACGGTCTGAACCTGGAGTAATGCTTAACTTATCACAAAATCATAATTAGTCCTTCAGGAAAATGATGCCGTTAGAATATCTGCAAAACAAGGACTGCTTTTTGTGGTCATTTCTGGCACTTCCTGGTTTTTTTTTTTTTTTTCACAGTTTGGCAAAGGGCAGCTATAAAAATGCTGAAGAAAAGATTAGTCTTTGCCCACCTCACATGCAATTGCTCCAAAAAAAAAAAAATCTAATAATATCTATTTGGGTTGGAGGGGTAGATGTTGTTCATTGCTGGAACGTGAAAAATAAATAGGGAATATTAGTGAGGACAAAGGATGCTAAGAACCTGATCAAATCACAAAGCCAGCCGATAGCTTTATGTCCTATAGGACATGTTTGCTGGTGAGAGATACCTTAGTTGACTGACCTCTTCTACAACTCTAAAGAGAAATTTTCTTGGTGCCAACTTCAGGTTTTGGTTCTTCAAGCTCCTGATGCTGATTGGAATAACCGTGGGTGCCTTCTATATTCCCGATGGAACATTCACATCTGGTAAAAGAAGCCTTTTCCATGTATTAAAATGAATCTGTGATGCAAAATTCTGTTCATATGGATGCAGGCATTGCCTTAATTAAAGGGACTGTCTCAGGGCTGAAGAAAGAATCGAATCAAATCAAATCAAATCAAATCGAATCGAATCGAATAGACAATACAATACAATACAATACACAACACACACTGCACACTATAATACACTACACAATACACAATATACTACACAATACATTACACAATACAATACCCTGCACAATACACTACACTACACTACACAATACAATACACAATATAATACACAATAGAATAGAATACACAATACAAAATATAATACAATACAAAATATAATACAATACAAAATACAATACAAAATACAATACAATACAATAATAGCCAAGTGTAATTGGACACACAAAGAATTTGTCTTTGCATATGCTCTCAGTGTCCATTAAAAAAAATACATTCATCAAGAATCATAAGATACAACACTTAGTGATGGTGCTTAAGATTAGCTTTGGATTTTAAGAAAAGGGACTAAGTTATCAGCGTTTTTATTTATTTTTATTTTATTTGTTAAATTTATTTAATGCCTGTCTCATTGTGGGGCCACTCTAGGCAGCTTAACAATAATAAAAAGGGAAGAAAAGGAAAGGAATGCAAACAGAACAGAAGTGAAATAATAGAACAATGAAATAAACAATGACAAAGGAACCTGTGAGAATAATACATCAATTTGATAACCGAAAGATGGGTGGGTGGAGAGCAGAGAGCAAGGCGGAGAGAGGTGAAGTCTGCCATCAATCTAGCAGCCACATCGAGGGAGGTGGGCTAATCTGAGGACTAATTCTTGGATAGTCTGCCTTCAAAAATATAGAACCTCTGAGACAAATATTAAGATAATGGGCTACTTCATGGCCCATGTGTTGTGCAGGCCTAATGTATGCCAAATTTCGGAACAGGGAGAAATTAAGGCTGAGAAAAATTATAATCCATTTAAAGCTGACATTGCTTCCAAACTGTTTTTAAAGCTTACCCATCCTGCAGGCCTCTGTGATCAGCTGGTTCGGACTGGCTGGGATTCAGCTGGTTTGGACCGGTTCGATAGATCCGGTCTGTGATCAGCTGGTTCAGACCAGCTGGGATTCAGCTGGTTCGGACCGGTTCGAGAGAACCAGATGCTAATTTTACATCTGGTTTGCTGAACCAGTAGTTGCAAGGACTGGCTGGCCCCGCCCACCCTGCCCCTCCCCTCCCAGGAGTCTCCCCGCGGCTTGTTTTGGATGCCAGGTAAGTGCAGGGCCCGCGCGGAGGCTCTGGGAGGGTGAAAAATGGGCCTCCTGGAAATGGCCTCGTTTCTGGCCTCTGGAGTGCCGCTGGAGCACAGGGAGGCTGTTTTCACCCTCCCAGAGGCTCGAGGAAAGCCTCCGGAGCTTGGGGAGGGTGAAAACACCCCCTGCACCACTGTGGTGCAGGAGGGCCAAGTAGGCCACACCCACCATGGCCACACCCACCCAGCAACAGGGCAGAGAACCGGTTGCTAAAATTCTTGAATCCCACCTCTGTCTGTGATATATTTAAACTTCCTCCTGGGTAGTTTGTTGTCTCATTCATGGATGGTAGCATGAGAGAAAGTTGAAAGTTGACTATCTTGTGTCTCTTGTGTGTTTTCTCCCCAATGAAGTCTGGTTCTACTTTGGCGTGGTCGGTTCCTTCTTCTTTGTCCTCATCCAGCTCATCCTCTTGATTGATTTTGCCCACTCCTGGAGTCAAATTTGGCTGCGCAATGCGGATGAAGGCAACAGCAAGTCCTGGTATGCAGGTCTGTACGAAACACACCTGTTCATTTGGGATTGAAATTTGGTGCTCCCAAGTGTGATGGATGGATGAAAGAACGAATCTCTTTCCCCATCATGATGCTCCAGATCTGATGGGACTGGTGTTCCTCAAATACTCAGCTAATACACATAGTCCTCGACTTATGACCACAATCGAGCCCAACATTTCTGTTCCTAAGTGAGACGTTTGTTGAGTTTTGTCCCATTTTATGACCTTTCTTGCCACAATTCTTAAACGCATCCCTGTAGTTAAGTTAATCAATCTAAGTTAAGTGAATCTGATTTCCCCATTAACTTTGACCCCGGGATACTGCAACTATCATAAATATGAGCCAGTTGCCAAACATCCTGAATTTTAATCACGTGACCAAGGGGATGTTGCAGTGGTTGTAATTGTGAAGAATGGTCATAAGTCACTTTTTTCAGTGCCATCATAACTTTAAACGGTCACTAAATGAACCATTGAAAGTTGAGGACTACCTGTACAGAAAAAAGCCAGATGTGTTTGGAGAAGAGACTCTGGTTCAGCACATCTGGAAGGCCAAGATGCCGGGGCGGGGGGGGAATGAAAATGGGATGGAAAGCCTTTCAAGCAAAGGGTTACAGACGCTGTTTGAATTCAGTAACGGGGGCTACATTTGAGTTGAAGGAGGGACGAGGACAGAGTGGATGAGGTTAGGAGAAAAACTGGACTCAGTTGGATTTTGCTGCATCCTTAACACATACATGTCCTTCATGTTATTCCCTTTTGCGTAAGTAATTCTGTGCAGAGCATGGAGAAAGAATATATTAATTTTTGTTCCAAAAGACGCATTAGGGCTTATTTTCCAGTTAGGTCTTATTTTTGAGGAAATGTACTAAATGCACCCATCTGGCTGACAATCTTAACTCGGGCTTATTTTGGGGGTAGGGCTTATATTACGAGCATCCTGAAAAATCATGCTAGGGCTTATTTTCTGGTTGGGTTTTATTTTCAGGGAAACACAGTAGATGCGGCTAAGACTAGAACAAACTCTACATCTTTCCATATTACTAAATAATATTGTGTAAAAGCACTGATTTAATAGCAATAGCACTTAGATGTATATACCGCTTCACAGTGCTTTTTCAGCCCTCTCTAAGCGGTTTACAGAGTCAGCCTATTGCCTCCAACAATCTGGGTCCTCATTTTACTGTCCTCAGAAGGATGGAAGGCTGAGTCAGCCTTTATCTGGTGAGATTCGAACTGCCAAATTGCTGGCAGCCGGCAATCAGCAGAAGCAGCTTGCAGTACTGCATTCTAACCACTGCGCCACCATGGCTCATTTAATCTGATGCTATTAATCTAGGTACTTTCCTTGCATTCAGTCACCGTATCCCTTCTACCTCATTAAATATCACAGTTCAAAGGCATTTTTTCTAGGGCCTCCGCACCCAAGGTTTGAATGGGCCGCCTGGAGCTGGGGCTTTGGTTGTAAACCCCTTACTAAGCCTGAATTCAGATGTGCAAACCATGATGGTGGCATTCATGCAACCCATGAATCTAAAAGCATAAAGTTAACTAAAGTAAACTAACTCAAAGCAAATAAACAACTAATATGATGGCGTAACCCACCATTGTTGAGCTAAGGGGTGTATCAGGCAAATCTTCAGCATGTTGAAGCAAATATCTCATAAATTCTACATTGTCGGATCTGATGGGCCTTTCCCTCCTCCTCTTCCGCAGCTCTGTTTTTCTTCACCTTTCTGTTCTACGCTGTCTCCATTGCTGCCATTGTGCTACTCTACGTCTATTACACCAAATCAGATGGCTGTACCGAAAGCAAGATCTTAGTCAGCCTCAATCTCATCTTCTGCATTGTGGTCTCTGTGGTCTCTGTACTGCCCAAGGTCCAGGTAAGTACTTCAGGAATGGGCTGCTGGGGGTTCGCAGGGGTTCGGGAGACCCTCTAGCTAAGATTCTGTGCAGTTCGGAGAACCCCCAAATCCCACTCCTGGCTGGCCCTGCCCTGCCCTGCCCTACCCACCCCACCCCTCCCAGGAGTCCCCACATGGCCAGTTTTGGATGCAGGTAAGTGCAGGGTGCGCACAGAGGCTCGGGGAGGGTGAAAAATGGGCCTACTGGAAGTCCGGCAAGGTCGGAAACGGGCCTGTTTCTGGCCTCCAGAGGGCCTCTGGAGCCTGGGGAGGGCAAAAATGCCCCCCCCGCCATGGTGCAGGAGGCCGAATAGCCCACCATAGCCACACCCACCCAGCAACTGGGCAGAGAACCCCTTGCTAAAATTTTTGAAGCCCGCCCCTGAAGTAATTGTGCTCAGAGTGTATTGTGAACCATTTATGTATATCTTTCCCCATCGCCTTCATCTTAGATAGAGTGAGGGTAGACACTTACAATGTGATATGTATTATTTATTGTCATTATTTTATCATTAAAAGTAATACGGCAGATTTAGGACCTGGGGGATCCTTCGTAGTTGCCAAGTGCTTTCTAAAAACCAGTTTTGCCAGCCTAGGGAAAAACCTGAGAATGGAATGCCATTCTTGCAACAGGGAGCAGGCTGTTCCATAGGAAAGGGCATCACTACCATGAGCTTCTTTCCACGTAGCTGGGGATCCTTCTGACTGTTATCTGCTAGCATCTATGGCAGGGGTGTCAAACTCAAGGCCCGGAGGCCGGATCCAGCCCGCGCGGTGCTTAGATCTGGCCTGCGGGGCTGCCCTGGAAACAGCAAAGGACCGGTCCACGGTGCCTCTGCCAGTGAAAACAGAGCTCAGGAGGGCCACCCATGACCCTCCCAAGCTCCGTTTTCGCTGGCAGAGAGTTGCAGGAGGCTGTCGCAGCCAAAAACGGAGCTTGGGAGTCCATTTTCGCTGGCAGAGCGCTTGGGGCACCACAGGTACCCCTGCTGACACGAGTGATGTCAAGATGGCCACGCCCACCCTGGCCACACCCCCTGGCCCTCCCAAGGTCAAACACAATCCTGATGCAGCCCTCAATGAACTCGAGTTTGACACCCCTGAAATAGAGCAATAATATCTAGAGCAGGGGTGTCAAACCGGCATTGTCACACCAGGATCACGTGACGTATTGGGACTTTCCCCCCCCTTTGCTAAACTGGGTGGGGGCGGGGCCAGCACGCGACACATCCAGCCCATGGGCCGTGAGTTTGACACCCCTGATCTAGAGCAATCAATGAATATGATCATGGTAGCATAGTGCGAAGGAACCCCCATTATTGTACCTGGTTTGCCCTGAATCTGTTTGGGTTTTTTTTGCTCCTTATGTTTCTCTACAGGATGCTCAGCCTCATTCTGGCCTTCTCCAAGCATCCATCATTACCCTCTACACCATGTATGTCACCTGGTCAGCTTTGGCCAACGTACCAGGTAAGCCGTGTTACTCTGTTGATTTTTTGAAGGCCTTTGTGCCTTAAAAAAAAAAAAAAAGACGGAACCTGCTTCTTAAAAAGAAATGTCCAACATGGTACCCGATCAAGCCAAGAGAAATTCTCTTTCGAGCTCCATTTTCGCTGGGAGAAGGCACCGCAGGCTGGTTCTTTGTTGTTTCTAGGGCGGCTCCGTAGGCCAGATCTAAGCACACCAAGGTCCAGATCCGGCCACCGGGCCTTGAGTTTGACACCCTTTGTCAAGTTTCCGAAAGATGGCAAGTTGAAAGCTTTGCAAAGTTGACACCCTTGTTCTAACAGACATGCCTGGATTCTTGGACTTTTAAACATCTTCCATTACTTTTTTTGCCAGTTTTCTCTACAAATTCAGGCACGTTAAGGATATTGTTGTTGTGTTACCAACCAGCAGAGTGTATGCACAAGGAAACGTTGCTGAGAGCAATGAATAAGAGATATGCAAACTGGTTTATCAAAAGCTTACTTTATAGTAGAAAAACAGTCTCATAGTCTTTAAACAAATTCCAAGTCTTTGCCAGTAAATCAGTCCAGTAGTTACAGAGTCTTCTTACCCAACAAACAGTAGTTGGTTAGAATAACAAACTCACTCTGGTTCACAAACCACGATGGTTGCAGATCTATCAAACCGATGATTACAGATAGCAACTCCTCTCAATGGTAGCTTATCATAGCAGCTTCATCATCTCATCATCTTCATACACAATGGCAGCATAGCATAGCAGCAACTGAACATGTTACAGCACCTTGCTTAAATACTCTCATAACCAGTCATTATCTAATTACAGCATGACTCAGCATTAAAGTCACATAATACATTTACAGATTAAAGTTACAGTACACTTATATTGCCTGGACAACATAGTTAGGCTCAAACCATATCCTAACAAGGCACAGTGCCCTCTTCTGGGGAAAAAAACCCCACCTTTCTCACAAAGGGTCATGATTCATGCTGGACGGAGAGAAATGGGCTAAGCCTCTTCCTGGTGCTGTGGGCGGGTGAACATTTCTACCTCGCTCCCTAGGAGGACCTGACCAATCAGCAAGGATGGGAGAGTTTGAGGAGCAGGCAGTGGTCAGACTTGAAATGAAATTGTGCGTAGAATTTTCTCTTTTCTTTTTTCCTAGATAAACACTGCAATCCAACTCTCCTGGTAAGAACGGCAGGGAACAGCACAACAGCTCTGCCTGAGAATGGCCAAGCAACTCAATGGTGGGATGCCCCAAGCATTGTAGGCCTAATCATATTTGTTTTCTGCACCCTCTTCATAAGGTGAGATTCCTGAACCTGCACGAATTTAAGCCCTGGTTTGCTTAAGCATTCGTATTATAATGAATGGACAAAATGGATTAGGGTTACAGAAACGTGCTAATCCATCAACTGGTTTGCAGATCAGCATGTCTGCATCCTAAGGCAAAACCAAACAAATCACATTGTGGCTCAGTGAGATATTGTTCCGGGGCCCAACAATGCTTTGCTGAGATGTTTTCTGTACGCTGAGTATCTCCGTTTCAGCTGCAGGACTCCCTCTGCTGGTTATGAGATTCAAATTGCTCTTTTTATTTATAAATAAAATGTGAATAGAATAGAATAGAATAGAATAGAATAGAATAGAATAGAATAGAATAGAATAGAATAGAATAGAATAGAATAGAATAGAATAGAATAGAATTCTTTACTGGCCAAGAGTGATTGGACACGCAAGGAATTTGTCATTGGTGCATATGCTCTCAGTGTACATAAAAAGACAAGATACATTCGTCAAGAATCCTAAGGTACAACACTTAATGATAGTCATAGGGTACAAATAAGCAATCAAATCATATTAGGAAACAGTCAATATAAATTGTAAGGATACAAGCAACCATGTTACAGTCATACAGTCATAAGTGGGAGGAGATGGGTGATAGGAACGATGAGAAGATTAATAGTATTACAGACTTAGTGAATAGTTTGACAGTGTTGAGGGAATTATTTGTTTAGCAGAGTGATGGCGTTTGAGAAAAAACTGTTCTTGTGTCTAGTTGTTCTGGTGTGCAGTGCTCTATAGCATCATTTTGAGGGTAGAAGTTGAAACAAATTTATGTCCAGGATGCGAGGGGTCTGTAAATATTTTCACAGCCCTCTTTTTATACAGGTTATACAGTATATAGGTCCTCAATGGAAGGCAGGTTGGTAGCAATTGTTTTTTCTTGATTGATTAGACTTAGCATAACTTTATTGCCACTTTAAATGTACACTAATTGGCGTACATTAAAATGAAATTTTGTTGCGTACAGCTCTCGAAGGGTCACCACCTCCAATGTACACTATATAAACATGACAAAAATATATATAAATAAATAAATAAAATATTACGCACATACCCACATATATTATATGACACAAAGAAACAACACAGTCTAGTTTCGGATGTATACATGCACATGCTGAGAAATTGAATATATGCCATTAGTTTGGTGTTGATTCTGAGCCACCATGGAGATGTTGACGTTTTCCAGAATGATCTGGCCCCAATACTGCCCCTTCTGGCTTTTCAGTGTTGTTGCACCTATCACTATTGTAATGAAGTCCATCAACTTGCTGCTCCTCTTCTCTTTCCTTCCTCTTTTCCCAGAATTACGGATTTCTCAAGGGAGTTGGGTCTTTTGCATTATGTGTCCAAAATTTGACCCTGGTTGTTTGTGCCTTGAGTGAAAATTCTGGATTTTTTTTTTTGTTCTGTGATCCAATGGTTTGTTTTCTTGGCTATCCATGGTATTCTTGAAAGTCTTTAGTGCAGATTATTTAGAAGAGTAGGGACTTGGAAGGGTTTAAAATGGTTAAAACTATCTCCTTGCAGTCTCTTCCTAGAAAGTACAGCTTTAACCAACCTGGTGAATATTTATAGTTTTTATAGGCTGGCTTATAAAGACCATTCTCCCCATGCATCTGATCATATTTCAATAAAAAGAGCCTTGGTAGTACAGTGGTCTAAGGCACCCTGTTATTAAGCTGGTTATTAAGACCAGCTGCCTGCAATTACTGCAGGTTCGAATCCAGCCATGGCTCAAGGTTGACTCAGCCTTCCATCCTTTCTAAGGTAGTTAAATTGAGGACCCAGTTGTGGGGGCAATAAGCTGACTTTGTATAAATATACAAAAAAGGATGAAGGCTATTGCTGAGCACATTGTAAGCCGCCCTGAGTCTCCGGAGAAGGGCGGCATATAAATCAAATTAAAAATAAATAAATAAAAATAACAGCCAAGGAAAAACCTGTATCACATGAAGTGTTTATTGATAAGGGAGCAAAACCAGACTATATACCATGTTTCCTGAAAATAAGACCCTGTCTTATATTTTTTTTGAACCCGGAAATAAGCACTTGGACTTATTTTCAGAGAGATCTTATTATTTTGGGATGCGTGGAGCAAGACGGGGCTCCTCTTGCCGTCTTACCTGATTTCCAGCTCTGTCTCCCTAACTCTAACCAGAGGAAATGGCGGGGACCAGCTGCTCATACGGTTAAATATTTTCAAGGAGGGCTTATTTTTGGAGGAGGGCTTATTTTCAGAGTAACACAGTAGGATTTGTGCTCTTTCCCCATATGGTTCCTGTACTCAGGGTAGAAGGATCATCTTCCCTTCTCTGGGGTGTGCCAGATATGCAGATACCACACTTACAGTCACATTGTCATATCAGGAGTGTGCCAGATTCCATGACCCATCTGCTTGCCATGTGTTATTAGATACACTTAATGAGACATAATGAAATGGGAAGTTGGCATGCCGCACATTCAGAATACAGAATAACAGAGTTGGAAGGAACCTTGGAGGTCTTCTAATCTAACCCCATGCTCAAGCAGGAGACCTTATACCATTCTGGACAAATAGCTGTCCAATCTCTTCTTAAAAACTTCCAGTGTTGGAGCATTCACAACTTCTGGAGGCAAGTTGTTCCACTGATTAATTGTTCTCCCTGCCAGGAAATTTCTCCTTAGTTCTAAGTTGCTTCTCTCCTTGATAAGTTTCCATCCATTCCTTCTTGTCTTGCCCTCAGGTGCTTTGGAAGATAAGGTCAACCCTTTCCGTTGTCTTTGCTGACAAGAATGCCGGTGGACCTTACATGGTCCCTATAGGCATTCTTTGGAAATAGCAAAGGTGGGCTATAAATGTCAACCTGTCAAGGAGAAACAAAGGCAAATTAAATTCGAGGTGATTATGATATGGAATTATCAGGAGCAGGACTTGAGGGTTATAGTGATGATTAGTCTTATTTGTAGGGATATACAATATTCACAGACCCTGAAACCAGGGGTGAGTTCTACTTACCTTTACTACCGGTTTGCGACAGGATCGCGCTCACTTAGCTCGCACACGCGCCTTGTTTCTGCGCATGCGCAGATCGCTGATGACGACATCTGGGGCAGTGGGTGGGGCCTCCCACCAGTTTTACTACCGGTTCTTGTGAACCGGTCTGAATCAGGAGCAACCCACCACTGCCTGAAACAACATCCTACAGAAGCTTAGAATGCTCTGATTCTCCTTCCCGCTACCAGGCCTAGCCATTCCAGGAATGGTTGTCTAAGTAAATCCTGCACACTATTAGAGGTGATCTAGAGTCCTGTTTTGGGGTTGATTATCCCTAGTACCGTGATGGCGAACCTATGGCATGCATGCCACAGGTGGCACACAGAGCCTTCTCTGTGGGCACGCCAGCTGTCGCCCCAGCCTAGCTCCACCGCGTATGCGTGCGTGCCTCCCGCTGGCCAGCTGGTCTTTGGGTCTCTGCGGCGCATGGATGGGGAGCAGGGCGCATGTGTGTGGGGCACTCGCATTGCATTTTGGGGGTTCGCGCGCATGCACGTGCCCCCTCCCCGCACCCCATTTTGGGCCTGGAAGGCCTCTTTCACCAACCTGGAAGGCAAAATGGGGCACAGGAGCACCGCGCATGGCTCCCCGCGCCCCATTTTGGGCCTGGAAGGCCTCCTGCACCAACCTGGAAGCCAAAAATGGGCAATGGAGGGGGGACAGAACACATGCGCAGGGGTGCTCGTATTGCAGTTTGGGGGTTTGCGTGCACATGCGCACACATTCACACACACGCACATGCACTTTGGGCACTCAGCACCAAAAAGGTTCGCCCTCACTGCCCTAGTACATCACAAATAGCTTCCGGTTTGGAGGATTAACTTCCAGAAACCACCCAATCGCTCTTGAAGGGGCATGGTCTGGAAAGGAAATGGAACAGCCCCAAGATCTCCAGAATGTTCTGATCTCAATTCTGAGAGGCTTTCCACATCCTTATTCATGTATGTTTGCTTTATGGTAAATGGAAGTTTGGTCACTGGTTGGATCGACCTTGGCAGCAATTTTAAAAGAACTGCCACAATCTATTTTCAAAATAGATCCTTGGTATCAAGAGCCTTGGTAGTACAGTGGTCTAAGGCACCCTGTTATTAAGCTGGTTATTAAGACCAGCTGCCTGCAATTACTGCAGGTTCGAATGTCGCCAAGGCTCAAGGTTGACTCAGCCTTCCATCCTTTCTAAGGTAGGTAAATTGAGGACCCAGTTGTGGGGGCAATAAACTGACTTTGTATAAATATACAAAAAGAATGAATAATAATAATAATAATAATAATAATAATAATAATAATAATAATAATAATAATAATAATTTTATTTCTATACCTTCATTTCTACTAATGAAGGCTATTGCTTAGTGCATTGTAAGCCGCCCTGAGTCTCCGGAGAAGGGCGGCATATAAATCAAATTAAAAAAAAAAATGTTGAATATCTCTACCAGTCCCAAAGGACTTGCTTCTAAAACAGGCCATAGAAGTTGGAGGTGATTTCCCCCCCCCAATTCTTCATTTACCCTATGACACCCTCTTGATAAAACTAGATTTAAAAGATGCTTTTAAATTTTTTAATAAGCTTTAAAACGATGGATCCAAAGAGTTTCTCCATCGATAAGTGAATAATGGATTGTGAGTATGGAGGATGAGCAGGAGGGAGAGTGATACTGATTGCAGATAAACCTACTCAGCCTCATGTGTTTTGATTCTAGCATCCGTTCCTCGGACCATACACAAGTGAACAAGATGATGCTCACAGAAGAAAGCCCAGCGATGCTAGGGGGTGGAAGCACTAACCTTGAAGATGGGGTACACCGGGCTTATGACAACGAAGAGGATGGAGTGTCTTACAACTACACCTTTTTCCATATCTGCCTCTTCCTGGCCTCCCTCTACATCATGATGACACTTACCAACTGGTACAGGTGTGTACAACTGGCACTGCCCTTCTTCCCCTGCTCCAGTTCCATCTGTTTCAAATAATTTTCAAGTTTCATTAACTTGAGTTGTGTTTAAAGAATGGGGTGGCTATCTGAAGGCTGTTTGAAAACATCAACTGGTCCAGAACTTTATGCTCCTGGGATTTTAACCTTTTGAGCATTTATTAGCTGGTGCTCTCTTCATGGACTTCTAATGTGGTTTTGGATGAGTCCTCAATGGTGGGTATCCATGTTTTACTTTCCTGTATGAGCTTGTCTGTTTTTAAGGTAAAGACAGGCAGACAGATGCTGCCTCCTAGCATGGAATGGAATGGAATGGAATGGAATGGAATGGAATAGAATAGAATAGAATAGAATAGAATAGAATAGAATAGAATAGAATAGAATAGAATAGAATAGAATAGAATAGAAAATAGAATAGAATAGAATAGAATAGATTTTTTTATTGGCCAAGTGTGATTGGACACACAAGGAATTTGTCTTGGTGCATAGGCTCTCAGTGTACATAAAAGAAAAGATACGTTCATCAAGAATCATAAGGTACAACACTTAATGATAGTCATAGGGTACAAATTAGCAATCGGGAAACAATAATATAAATCGTAAGGATCCAAGCAACAAAGTTACAGTCATACAGTCGTAAGTGGAAGGAGATGGGTGATGGGAACGATGAGAAGATTAATAGTAGTGCAGACTTAGTAAATAGTTTGACATTGTTTGAGATGGTGTTCCTTCCTTTTTCAAGTGCAAACTAGGGTGCAAACTCTTTCAAGACTTGATATTTGGACATTTTCTATAAACAGCAGAATAACGTAGAAGATGCAGAGCAGGTGGCATGGTGTATATCAGTGGAGAGTTGCTACTGGTTCACACCACATCAGGTGAACTGGTAGTGGTGGTGGGAGGCTCCACCCACCTGCCCAGACGCTTCTGCGCATGCGGAGAAGTGCCATGTGCACGCAAGCGAACCGGTAGCGATGGGATTTGGAACCCGTCCCTAGTGTATATCCTCCCTCTTCTAGCTCTTTGCCTTCCTGCATCTAGCACCTTCTAGAGGCAATCGTTTCTAGAGTTGGGCCTGACTGAAATGGTTCCTATTTACAATAAACAAATCAAATAAACAGAACCCAAATTGAATGGGGTTTCTTAAGCTTAGGAAGAAAGGTGTATAGCGAAGAATGGTACCAAGAATATATTAAACCATAATCTTGGTAGAGCCTTGGTAGTACAGTGGTCTAAAGCACCCTGTTATTAAGACCAGCTGCCTGCAATTACTGCAGGTTCGAATCTCGCCAGGCTCAAGGTTGACTCAGCCTTCCATCCTTTCTAAGGTAGGTAAATTGAGGACCCAGTTTGTGGGGGCAATAAGCTGACTTTGTATAAATATATACAAAAGTATGAAGGCTATTGCTTAACGCATTGTAAGCCACCCTGAGTCTCCGGAGAAGGGCGGCATATAAATCAAATTAAAAAAAAAAATCTGCTTGGGTTGGGCTTCATGTGAGGTGTAAACAACCCTCACAACATAATTTAGCGTGCTGGCTGAAGCAACCTGCTATGGCTTACTCAAATCACAGGGTTTTTTTTTCTTACAAAAAAAAAAAAAAAATCCCAGCTTCTCAGGATGCGCTATGCTTCTTCAGGTTTCTAGCGTTCCTGCTATACCCTCTTCCCGTTGCCTAGGAAACCAGCATGATTTGTCAGCTTGGCGCAAGTCAAGCTTTGGGAAGAGGGGAAAAAAAATGCCTTCGCCTCAGATGAACTCGACGTTGGCTGGGGGAGAAGAAGCAGGTGCTGCTTACAAGCTGGCAAGCCGTGCCTAGAGTGGAGCATTTGGGGTGAGGGACCGGGGGTGGGGGGGTGGGGGTGGGGAGAGAATGCAGGGGAGGTGAGACCGTGGTTGCAAACGGCATTGCCTCATCCCGAAGACCACTATATATTCGTTTGCCCAGAACATTATCGCCGAGTCCTTCGGTTATTTTTAGCGCATGACTTTCTGTCACGTCCCCCAGACCTGCAAACGGTGCCAAGTCGAGCTGCAGTGGGCTGGCACTGGCCATATATTGCCTCAGCAGGATTGACGCGCAGAGTGTGTGTGTATGTTTGTGTGTGTGTGTGTAGAATGGAAGATGGTCCGGTCCGTGACATTGCTCTGACCAAAAATCCAGGCTGCCCTGCCAAATTCTTGGCTGCTGCCGCTGCCCCTTTCCGAATGAAAACAAACCAGAGAAGGGTTTGCATGCTAAATTGGGGTTGGGTTCTCGATCTTGCTTTTCCCTGGGAGAAGAGGACATCCAAGGTCAGGCTGAGTGCGTAACTGCAAGAGTCAGGCTGGAAAAAAAAAAAAAAAACAAGGAAAGGGCCAGGAAAGGAGGACCTATAATGCAGCAAATAAATCCTATTCTTCTTCTCCCCCAAGCAGACAGACAGGCTGGCTGGTTTTGCTACCGCATAGATGGGACTGGGAGAATCCAGCCCTGCCCCACACATTAGTGGTGTGGGTGTGGGTGTCAACAAGGCCTTACAGTAGTATTGCTCAATCTTGGCAGCTTTTAAGATGCGAGGACGTCAACTCCAGAAATTCCCAGCCAGCATGAATTATGAAGTCCACGCAATTTAAAGCTGCCGTGGTTGAGGAACGGTGCCCTACAGGTTGTCTGGAGGTCTTTTTGCTTCCCCCCCACCCCCCAATGGGTTGGAGTTTCTTTGGGAGTTTCTTTCTCTTCTTTGAGAAGAGCCTGTACTACAGTGGACTAAAGCATGGTTATTAACAACTGCTGCTTGCAATTACTGCAAGTTCAAATCTCACCAGGCTCAAGGTTGACTCAGCCTTCCATCCTTTCAAAGGTAGGTGAAATGAGGACCCAGATTGTGGGGGCAATAAGCTGACTTTGTATAAATATACAAAAGTATGAAGGCTATTGCTTAATGCATTGTAAGCCGCCCTGAGTCTCCAGAGAAGGGCGGCATATAAATTAAAGCAAAAAAAAAAAAAGAAGAAGAAGAAGAAGAAGAAGGCAGGAAAAAGTCATCTGGGAGGCTGTTACTCATTTACAAAGGCTTTAGCAGGTTTCCCCACCTTGCGCTAAACTGCGGCATGCTTAACTGAAGTTTATTGAATCAGTTACGCTCGGCTGGATTTACGTGCCAGACCCTGGTCTGCAAGCCACGGTGGCTGAGTTTGCAGCAGAAGCTCAATCAGAACCAAACAAACCACAGTATGGTTTAGCCCGGTGGCTTCCCAAGTCTAAATAAATCACCCAAACCTGGATAAAAGTGGTTTTTCTTTGGGTAACAACACATGAACCCATTACCCATCACAACACGGATGTTTAAAGTTTACTAAAATAGACTTGAAATCTTCCCAAGGCAAAAATTTGAATAATGGCATCAATTATCCATGGTGACTTGTTCAAATGACATAAAGATCATTTCAGTGATACTGTTTTTGTAATAGAGGTAGTCCTCAAGTTAGGACCATTTGTTCAGTGACCAACGTTACGACGATGCTAAAGGAAGGGGCTTATAATCAGTTCTCGAGATGTATTTAAACTTTATGATAAGTGGTTTTGGGTAATGAAGGAAAAAGTTTGGGTAACGCTATTTTAATAATAAGAGAATAACAGAGTTAGAAGGGACCTTGTAGGTCATCTAGTCCAACCCCCTGCTCTTGCAGGAGACCCTGTACTATTTCTGACAAGTGGATGTGTAGCTTCTTGAAAGTCTCCAGTGATGAAGCACCACAACTTTTGAAGGCAAGATGTTCCACTGGTTGATTGTTCTCACTGTCAGAAAATTTCTCCTTATTTCTAGGTTGAATCTCTCCTTCAACAGTTTCCATCCATTGTTCCTTGTCTGGCTTTCGGGTGGTTTAGAAAATAGGTTATCTCCCCTCCTTCTCTGTGACAGCCCCTCAAATATTGCTATCATGTCGATGGCATGATCCTGATCCTTCTCTTCACTAGGCTAGCCATGCCCAGATCCTGCAACCGTTCTTCATATGTTTTAGCTTCCAGGTTTAGCATGGTGTGCTCCAGGGATGAAATCTAAATTTTTTCCCTACTGGTTCTGTGGCCGTTGCTTGGTGGGCGTGGCAAGGGAAGGATACTGCAAAATCTCCATTCCCACCCCACTCCAAGGGAAAGATATTGCAAAATCTCAATTCCCACTCCACTCTGGGGCCAGCCAGAGGTGGTATTTGCCGGTTCTACTTTGAGAAACTACTCAACATTTCCACTACCGGTTCTCCGAACTGCTCAAAATTTCTGCTACTGGTTCTCCAGAACCTGTGAGAACCTGCTGGATTTCACCCCTGGTGTGCTCCATCTAGACTAGTCTTACTAATACAGGTTTGCAAAAAATGTCGCAAGGTTTTGACAGTCGACCTTTGCCCTTTAAAACTATCAGGAGATTTTGTCCTCATAAACCGGTGTTCTTACAGTCTGAGCAACAGTTCTTCTCTTGCACTCGTTTCCCGTTTGTTGGACTTTCACAAGGCCTTTGAGGACACAGGCTGTGTTCCATCAGTTGGAGTTTGCCTGGATGTTTGATTTGGAACTGTGAGTTTGGAGGCGTGTAGCAATTCCAGGCCTCATAGTTTCCCTTGAATGGTCTTTTCTTTCTCTTCTAACGGAGCTAGAAGCCAGCCTCATTTGGAGTGACATGCTCAGGGATTTTGGAATTATTTTTAGGATTAATAAATGCTGAAGGTGTCAAACTTATGTGCATCTATCCCGACGGAGTGAAATGGGATGTACAGATAGTCCTGTGGGAAGAAAGTCTGACTTACTAACAACTTCTGGAACTTGAAGACCTCATGACTTCAAGTTACCAAATGAGAAACACTATTCTAAATGGTACTCCATATAATCGTGAACCCTGAAGCTCCACAATGTTTTCATGAACTGTCAAAAAGAGACTGTATATTAAAAAAATAAGCGGCTTCAGCAGCTCATAAAAACATTATGTGGTTTCTGCATTTCGTCAGCTTCAGGAAGGAATCCTCGTTCACCCATTTTACTAATGGGCAGCCCCGTTCATAAGCATCAGTTCCATACAACTTCAAGGTAGAAACAGCTAGGAGTAGAACTTGTTTTTTAACCTTGGGAATGCCTGTGTTAAAATAGGGGTGTGGGGGCGAGCAGTGGGAGGGAGGGAATTGTAAAATATCTCGTGGATTTGAGTAGAGGTGGGTTGTTTTTTTTTTTGGTAAGTTTCTCTTAGATAACATTCGAGCTGACCTAAAATGATCTCTCAAAAACAACCCAACCCAAAAAATGAATTGGAATTGGCCCTAGTTGGGTTTGGGATGCAACTCCACCCGGTTATATCTCAGGTCTGTTTTCGATGGCAGTTATGCAGTTGCTACTGTGAAGGCCCAGTTTAATAAATTAGCAAACCGAAAAGAGCATCCTGCTGAAAATACTTGGTAGTATAGCTTTTGATGGATATGAAATGGGATTAGAACTAGTGTGGTATTAGTCCAATGCAGTGTTTTTCAACCTTTAAGATATGTGGACTTCCAAACAGCTAAAGTTGTTAAGTCCCAAAGGTGCTTTTTCAAGGGGCAACTGGACTTTCTTTGTTTTTTTTTCAAAGACGTTTCACTTCTCATCCAAGAAGCTTCTATGGAGAATCTCCATAGACATAAATCAGAGGTGGGATTCAGCCGGTTCTGTCCGGTTCGCGCGAACCAGTAGTGGTGATTGTGGGAGGCTCTGCCCACCCGCACGGACATAATGCCCTCCTATTTAGCCACGTTTTTGAGCCCTTGCGCATGCGTGGAAATTCGTGCGCATGCGCGGAAGAGGCTCATATTTGCAAACCGGTAGGGAAGGTAAGTGAATCCCACCTCTGCATAAAGTCACTAAGGTTGAGAAACACTGGTCTACGGTGACTGAAAAATAGAATTTCAGTTGATTAATTTGTTGTACTGTATTTGGAATGGTGAAATTTCCGAAGTTTCTAAACTGGTGTTTCTCAAACTTGGCCACCCGATGCTGACAGTGGAATAGAATAGAATAGAATAATTTTATTTCTATACTGGAACTTCTGGAACTTGAAGACCTCATGACTTCAAGTTACCGAATGAGAAACACTATTCCAAATGGTACTCCGTATAATCGTGTTAGTGAAGGCATTAGAGAATGACGTAGAAGAAGAAGGTCTGAGCTGAACATGAAGGTTACAGCTGATGCATGTGTTGTCTCCATTACAAGTTTCCATTGCATTTGGTAGGCCTGAGAATCTGATTAGCAATAGTGCGTCAACTCTTGTGTTGCAGTTGCTATCCAGCTGTGTTCAGATGCCGAAACAAATAGGTGTTACAGGCTGGAACAAATATGTTTCTGTTTTCATTGTACCCTAGAAGAACACAACAGATAATCTGACGTGAACAATGTGGTTTCCTGTAGCAGACTTGGTTATAGCCTGCTGAAGATGACTTCATTTGTGCTTAGTGCATGAAACAACACCTTTGAATATGCTTTGTTCTGTGCATAGAGTTCTTTTCCTTAGGAACTTTGAAAATTCTTTGGTTGGTGTACCAGTGCACGGCTATTCAGCTTCAGAGTGAGCTTGAACATTTAGGAATGATGGTTTCTTAGAATGGATAAATGTGTCATTTCTCAGAGATGGTTTTAACCCCATCAGCTGTCCTAGAGCCAGACTTTCTCCAACTTCATAGGATGATTGTGATTAAACACTAGAAGAATCATATATGTCATCCTGAGGAATATCTATAATTGACAAAAGGTTGGATTATGATGGGCAGGAATCTTTTAAACTGAATGTTTGATATTCCTCTGTATTTCTTTCCTCCAGGCCTAATGAAATCCGCCAAGAGCTGACCAGCCCATGGACTGCTGTCTGGGTGAAGATTTCATCCAGCTGGGTTGGGCTTCTCCTGTATCTTTGGACTTTGATTGCCCCACTTGTACTTCCAGACCGGGACTTCAGCTGAAAACTTTCCAAGAGTGCCAACTTCCCAAGGGAAAAAGTTACACGGTGCCATGAGAAGTGAGCAAGTGAGGTCAATACTTATGGCTTGAATGTTAGGTATGGGCTCTCAAACTTATGAAGGCAGAAGTGACCAATTCTCCCCTTTCCTCTGTTTTACATTCAGACAAATCTACTACGTTTTGTGACTTTACTTCTTGAAAATTCTTTAAAAACCAGTTAAACTGGCTTAATCCACTTATGTGTGCAAGGCTCAACACACATTTCTGGTGGAGGATGTCTGCACAACTCCCCCCCCCCCACTTACGCTAATGGCCTTCTAAGTATATTGTAAAATACCTGAGTAACTTACATGGTGCTGCTCATCTTTTTTTTTTTTTTAAAGATATTTGGCATAGGAATAACTGTGTGTTCCTTTTTAAATTGTGGTTTAAAGGAATTTTTCACCACTTTGCCTTGTTACATGAAGCCTTTTAAATAAACTCTCAGTTATTTTTGATATGGAATTTGATGGTAATAAAATAAAAATCCTTGTATTAGGTAGATGAATGTTGAGCATAGAAACAGACTACCATCATAACAGTGCCTGGGTAAGCTTGGTTTAGGGCAGCCTTCTGAAAGTCTTGATTTTAATGGAGTGTTCTGTACCAACCCAGTCAATTATGGTTTACTTAGTAAACCATGGTTATATCATGGTGTAGCACATTCTAGGAAACGTGTCTTATTCTGGCATTTAGAGACGCATAGGAAATGATTGTGGCTTGTGGGAAGACATTCCATAAATGGTAGGGTGGATTGAATGCACTAGAAAAATAACATCAATAACCTAGAATAGTTTAGGCTATGTCTCTTTTTGTGAGACCCCAGTTGTGATTGACCAAAATGACAAAAAGTGTCGTTTTCCAGCTGACAAATGTTATGCAAAATTTTCTGACTTTAACAAATTTTATTCAAAACTTTCCGACTAACACATTTTATTAAGAAGCATACGTTTTCATGAACTGAGCTTGTATCTTTGAATAAAAGGTGTACATTACAAAAGATGCTACTGGGTACTTCTGAATTTTTGCTACCATCGATTAACACTGTTCTTCTTCACAAAGTTTGCAGTTGTGATGAAGAAGTAGCGTGGAGCTCTGCTAAGGCATGTCTAACGAAAGCTTTCTTTTTTTGTAGCATCCAACAGAGGGCAGCACTTTGGGGCTCTTGTTTAACAATACAGTAGAAGAAATAGAATTTTGTATTTACCCTGTTTGCTAAAATTGTTGCTGTTCTGAAATTTGTCCTGCATTTTGTTCCCTTTTCCCATTCTACGGACAAGCAATGGGTCTCCTTCTTCTTCTTCTTCTTCTTCTTCTTCTTCTTCTTCTTCTTCTTCTTCTTCTTCTCTTCTTTCTTCTTCTTCTTCTTCTTCTTCTTCTTCTTCTTCTTCTTCTTCTTCCTCCTCCTCCTCCTCCTCCTCCTCCTCCTCCTCCTCCTCCTCCTCCTCCTCCTCCTCCTAGGAAGAAGAACATTTTGGTAAGATACTTTGGGATGGTACATGGAATTAAGCTCCAAAGGAGAAAAAAAAACCCATCTTTTTCCTTCTCAAGAAAACTGAGGAGATTCAGAAGTAGCAACATAGAAATAGACAGTGAGAGCATTTGCTAATTCACTGATAATTGCAATTGCAGCATGATAATTCATTGGAGCTTAATCCCACCGTGGCTGGATTCATAGATTGTGCTAAAAAGCAAGCAAGCCACAATTCGACAGTGCATTGCCTTGAGTCAGCCAGTGAAAGGTCTCTCATCCCAGCAGCCATCACGTGGGGCTCATAAAAGTCAAAACGATAACTCCCAATCATGGGATCAAAGGACCCATCTCTTTTGTGTGTGTGTGTAAAAGAAGGCTTTGATAGAATGGGTGACTACCAGTGGAGGGTTTCAAATTTTTTTACTACTGGTTCTGTGGGTGTGGCTTGGTGGGTGTGGCTTGGTGGGCATGGGCATGTAAAATCTCCATTCCCACCCCACTCCAGGGGAAGGATACTGCAAAATCCCCATTTCCTCCCAATCAGCTGGGACTTGGGAGGAACAGAATAGATGGGGGTGGGGCCAGTCAGAATTTTTACTACCGGTTCTCCAAACTACTTAAAATTTCTGCTACCGGTTCTCCAGAACTGGTCAGAACCCACTCCTCTCCTAGAAGAATGAAATATATCCCCAAAGTCAGATGTACACTAAATGTAGACTGACGTTTAGCTACACACCTCCCCAGCAAACAGCAAATTTTAAAGCTCCAGGTAAAGAGGATTCATTTTAGGATGAGTAACCACAGTTTGCATGTTGGAGGTTCCTAAAGGAATGCTGGGAAACTCTGTATTTTAAAGAATGTTTGAGGGAAGGGTGCAGAATAGCCCAACTGTCTTGCTTAGCAACAGAAATGTTGGGCTCAATTGTGGTTATAAGTTGACGACTATCTGTAATTGCGGGGGTGAGTGCCTTACTATAAATCTCCTTTTAGCTGGAGCAGAAGGCAGTTCTCCATATCTGAAAAGGAAGAAGTTTGCAGAAGCGTTGTCTGCTAACGTCTAGTGTTTTGATTATTATTCTGAACGTATTTCAGAGTTACGACCTGAGGTCTACCTTTAAATTGCCCCTCTGAGAGACTGGGAGCTAAATAAATCAAACAATTTAAGAATAAGGTAGAGAAATAAGTGCTTTTTCTTTTTTTAATTGGAAGAAAACATGGGGAAATTTGGGAAATAAAATAAATGCGTGGTACTCTTGAAAATGATATAGAAGGCCAGGTTAACCTCTGGTTCTCTAGCCTTTGCTGAGTTAAGGCTGTTTGACTCCTTCACAGCTATTTTGAAACAAGACTGTCAGGATTTAATTGCATTCATATTGACTTTGCTGCAATTGCTGTGTTCACCCATCAATCTAAGCCACAATGCATTTGGCAATGGCTTAGATAGAATAATGTGTGAATTAGGGCTGTTGATCTGTGCTGCAAGAATCCCAGATGCCCACCAGAGGGCAATTGAAGAGCTGCCGAAAACCTCTGGATTTGTGCAGCCCACTTCTTGTAACCCTATGGTGAACCCATCTATTATTGCTATTATAAATGTAGTTTATGGCTTAACACACTGAAATAGCTAAGAGTGGTTTATGCAACAAACTGTGGCCCATTGGGCCTTAGTGTAATGTGTGGTTGCAGTGTTAACTGTTCACACCTTATAGGATGACTTATTTTTTTTCCCTTGTTCCTTGTTTTGTTTCATGTTTAACTTTTAAAAATGTGTAGCTGTTCTGCAGACCCAAGCAGTATGATCCCTAGTCCATTAAACTGCTTATTTAAAAAAAAAAAAACCACACTCAATAATAAAAGCACATTTCCAGTCAACGAACAAATACAGCAGCTCAGATAATTAAAATCAAATCAACATTAACTCATTGATTGATTAAAATGCTTAGGAGGAAACCAGTGTCATTGTCTAGCTATGTAAAGATACTGAAGAAGACACCATGGGAAAGACATTCTAGAGTGGAGGGGGGCCCAGTTGCTTGGTCACTTGCTACTCTTTAGTTTTGGAAAAGGACCCTTTGCTTGCTCGAGATGACTTAATTGCTTGAGATGGTTAATTGTTCTCAAGGAACAACAAGAGGAACGGCTTGCCTTCAGACGTCGTGGGTGCTCCATCACTGGAGGCTTTTAAGAAGAGGCTGGACAGCCATTTGTCTGGAATAATATAGGGTATCCCAGGGGTGAAATGCTCCCGGTTCGGATCGGCTCGGGCAAGTAGGTAGCGATGGTGGCGGGCAGTTTGGAGAACCGGTAGCAAAAATCCCTGCCCCCGCCCCCCCATGCCCAGCTGAGCCGCGCGATCATCAGAGCCTTTTTTTTTCTTTTAAATGGCTCTGACGATCCAAGCTCTGATGATCCCAGCTGAGTTGCCCGCTAACCGGTAGCAAAAATCTCTCCCCCCGCCCCCCCAGTCTCCAGCTTCCTTACCTTAGCTGCTGGTCGCAATGCCTGCCTTGCTTTGCTTGCTGTAATACCTGCAATCCATTGCATCAGCAAGCAACTGAATCTCCCTGCCTGCAATCAAGCTCATCGGTGAGCAGCTCTATCTGCCTGCCTGCCTTCCTGCCTGCCTTCCTGCCTGCCTTGTACCTTCTATTGCAGGGGTCTCCAACCTTGGCAACTTTAAGACTTGTGGACTTCAACTCCCAGCAAAGCTGGCTGAGGAATTCTGGGAGTTGAAGTCCACAAGTCATAAAGTTGCCACGGTTGGAGACCTCTGGCTTAAACGAGAACATGTTTTTGAAGAGGCCCAACAGCCATTATCAAACCAGGAAGCAAAGAGGCAGAGAAGTCATTTGAAACTTTTGGCATCAAGAAAGTTGGAAAATCGAAACGTGTCCCTTTGCAAATTAAAGTCTTTACATTCATGTGGTCGCTTGGCAAGTGCAAAAGTGCGCTTTTGTGTATTCCCAGGGTTGTTTTTTTATTTATTTTTTTTACAAAATGTGTAAATGCTTTGTAAAAGGAATGAAGATAAGGATTTGAGTAAATTATTATATTTAGTAACAAGCACCAGAGGTGTTTTTTTTTAAAAAGGGGGGTTTAAAGGTACTGTTGACAATGGATACTTTAAAATATAGACTTAAATAGAAAGTCTTGCCACTTTTTTTCCCGCAGTGCAAGCTCTTGGTTGAAGGAGAAGAAACAAACTCTGCTGCCAATATTTTTTTTCCTCCTGTTTTTGGAGCTTTGGACAAATCCCATTGCTTGCACGGGCATCGATCCAAAATGCAGACAACCACAGTAACTTTGGATTTCGAAAACTTCTCTCTCTCTCCATTCTCTAACTGACTTTCTCATCAAAATGTGCAGGCGAGATCAATCTTACTGATTATTCTCTAATCCCCAAGGCTGATTCTTGGTTTCTCTGGCCATCATATTCTCACTTGTGCATTCAGAGCAGTGGGGGGTTCCTCCCGGTTCGGCCCAGTTCTCCTGAGCTGGTAGCGGTGACGATATGACATCACCAAACCGATTCTGGCCCCCCCGCACTCAATGGTTTGTTTGCCAATTTCAGTAAACAAATTGGGAGCTTGGATTTCGTGCTCCAGGCTTATTTTAGAATGTCTTCTGCCAAACAGCTGGACCTCACATCTGCCTCCACCTGAGTGAAAGGCCAGGCAGAAAGAGTTCGTATGGGGAAAATCCCATTAAAGTAAGGGGAAGTTATGTCTAGGTAGATACATATAACATTAGATACGTGTACACAGACACATCAGGGGTGCTATTCAGCAGGTTCTGACAGGTTCTGGAGAACCGGTAGCGGAAATTTTGAATAGTTCGGCAAATACCACCTCTGGCTGGTCCCATAGTGGGGAGGGAATGGAGATTTTGCAATATCCTTCCCCCTGGAGTGGGATGGGAATGGAGATTTTGCAGTATTCTTCCTCCTGGAGTGGGCTTGGAGTGGAGATTTTGCAGTATCTTTCCCCCTGGAGTTGGGTAGGAATGGAGATTTTGCAGTATCCTTCTCCTGCCACACCCACCAAGCCATGCCTACCACGCCACCCCACGCCCACCAAGCCACGCCTACAGAACTGGTAGTAAAAAGATTTGAATTTCACCACTTGCACACACACACACACATATATAACTAATTTGATGGGGAAGTTGTGATATAACTAAATTCTCTATTGTTGCCGTCTCTTTGCAAATTTGACAAGTAAAATATTGTTTGTCCAAGGATACATAATGTATCAGGAAGAATAGGAGCATCTAATGCTTTTTCCTAGCTGTCTCCCTGATGTCTTTTTGTGTTGTGGACTTTTTGCTTGCTTGTTTTGATAATGGGAGAAACATTCAAAATAGGTATCCTGGCTGGTAGAGCCCGAAGGAGGACGATATACCATTTCCTGCCTGTCTCTTCCATAGTAATGGGGGCTTGCATTGAGCATTTAAGATGTTAGACGTGGAAGATCTGTGCGTTGTTACCAGTTGGTCTTCTGACTGCCAACTAATATTAAGTACCAGGG